CCAACAAAAAGAGATAAATATCGAAACAAATTAAATATATATAGCACCTGGCACAGTCCGACCCCAGACTGTTAAACAGAACATTAAGATAACAGAGCTGTAAAACAAAGTGTTTCACTTACGCAGTTCAGTCTTGTGTGGAAAAACCCTCCAATCCTGTAACACTGTTAACTGCACGCCTGCAACTACATCCTGATGGCGTTCGTTCAATAATGTCCCACACAAATAAATACTGTACATACACGGTCTTAAGGTACATCAGGAGGTATTTCAGTGGGTGTGATATGGATGCCGTTATCTTTATTAACTACGCTTGAAGCTACTCTCGAACTGCAGTATTTCAAGTAGATGATATCTGAAAGCTTCTGACACGCTCTGGCCACAGGAAGTTCAGTGTTTTACATGAATTGTGAGTATATCTCTGACCAGAGTGTCATATACCATGTGTAAACTATCAAAAGCCCTTAAGCTCTATATATTACTGAGACAAACCTTCCTACGCTTTGAGAGAGCACATTAGTTCAAATATATTTTGTTCTACATAACGGCAGGTTCTAGTTTGAAACCTGACTGAACTCTTACCGCAGGCACAGCACAAAAATCACACCCTTCAGTTTTGGGTCGATACAGACTTGGACACATGACATTAACAGCTTAAAATGATGAATTCTAGGATATGACTTGAAAGGTCAGATGTGTAATATTTAATTCAAAACGCTGGAAGAGACTGTTATCGGTTGGGTACAGAGTACAAATCCTAAACCAACCTCAAAAACACGACACTAACACCGTCAAACTGCTTTTAACCTTGCATAGTGTTTCATTTGAACTTTTTAAGTGGTTAAATAATGTGCTAATCTGCTGTTTACCAGCTGAACAAGCTGTGAACTGGGACTACTGTCTGGCTTTTAAAAAAATGCTTTAATTTGAATAATTTACTGTTTTTCCACATTAACTCTTCAGTTTGATAGTTAATCATTCTTATAGCTTTAGCCTCATTTAAATAGCAAAAATCCTTTAGTGCAGTCATATGGTCATCTAAGATGTTTTAATATGATTAAAACTAGCTATATGTTGCTGTAGATGAAATGTTACTTTTTAGACAAACCGCAAAAATAAGACTTCATTTTTATTTAGTTTAAGAACTTGTGCGTTCCCCTGCAAATCAAAAGCTTTTTGGTAAAGATGAATTTTATTGCTAAAATCTTTTTTTTTATTTTTTTTATTTCAGGTTAAGAGGTTATTGTTAAGACTTGTCAAAACATTTGCAAATGCAAATTACTTTTAATTTACATAAAATGTTTCATTAAGCAAAAATCCTTTAGCCTATTTATATTTTCTTTAAAGAAAAAAATCATGTTTTATTTCTCAAAATTATATATATTTTTTTCTCACGAGGCAACTGGTATGATTTTACATTCAGTGATATTTTCTGTCCGCTTGTTCTGTAACGCAAAAGTGAAACTAGCAATAATACGATAAAAGGATGTTTTCATCCTTCAAAACCGAGGCAGGCGCTTCAAAAGTAAATACTCCCTGGCTCGCCTTTGAATCAGAGAGGCGGAAAACGTAACTTGCTCGAACCCAAAAAAAAAACAAACGTTGCATGAAAGAAAATGCAATGGAAATAAATACTGTAAAACAAGTGTCACCTTGTTGTGTCATAAACAAAACAAAAACACACACTCCAACACAAACACACAGCAGTCTGAAATGTAAATGTAAGTGACGTGACGAGGGAGGGGAAGTGGCAGACATACTCTTGCAGTCCGTTACGTCACAGTTCCTCTAAACTGGAAGATGGTGCGTCCAGAGAACCGAACGGCTCAGACGGGCTCCTTGAACGACATGCTTGGTATGGCGTCCCAACACGCTTGATCAAAGGGTTTCAAACCAAAGTAAGGCCACAGCTACCAGAAATGAACAAAAACTGCAAACCAGAAAGAGAGAGATGTTAAAATACTTGAGCCATTTTGCATTGAAACACTAATCAGATCTTCATATGTAGTGATATTAACTAGTTTGAGTCCAAATTGAATCCTATTTTGTCCTGTGTTTGATTGGTTGAAGTGATGTGGTGAAACACACTGTACAGGTTGAAGGCACTTCAGCTGCTCCCTCTGCTGGTCTGATCCGACACAGGGTTGGTGTTTATCTCCTCCTCGTCGCCCTGCTCCTCCTCTTCCTCTTCAGCCCAGCCACCCAAGCGGCCAGAAGTGGGTGGCACCAAGGTGACTGTCTGTGCAAACTGTATCTGAGGACCTTGAGCTGAAAGAAAGAAGTGCCTTCAGATCCTTTTACATAATCTTACCATGATTGACCAGGTATGCAAAATGAGTCATTAACCCAAAGATTCACATTTGGATGTCTGGGTCTGTCTGCAGCTAATTCTGGTCAAGAAACCGACTAGTCAATAAATAAAACCCAAAACTTTGTGGTGAAGAGTGATGAATTTTATTGCTCAAATATTTATTTCTTGTTTAAATTTTGCATTTTTTTTTATGAAGAGAGAGGTATGCAAAGTGATGACCCAAAGATTTCACTTCTGATGTCTGGGACTGTCTGCCGTTTATTCTGGTTAAGAAACGCTTGCTCATGCAATAGACCGACTGAATCTGACTCGTAAAGCATCCAACCATAATCTGAAAAATAATTGATTAGTCGAATAACATCCATAGGAAATCAGTAGCACATTATAATAAGGTTAAATTCATCAGTATTTGTTAATGCATTCTGTATCATGAACTAGCAATAAAAAAATATTACAATACAGCTTGTACTGATTCCAAAACATAATTACTTTTAATTTTTACATATGCTAACACATTAACATGTCAAGCTGTAGAAATTAACAAACTATAATATTAATATTGATCATGAATTAGCTATGAAAAATATGTTTATAAATTATTACGAATAATTTCTATATTAATACATACTGTATATACACACAAACACATATAATATTAATATTTATTTTAAATGAATTAATGAAAAATAATATATTTATACATTCAAAATATTAAATTTATATATTAATAAATCATATACTATATACTGTATGTATACATATTTATATTTCTAAAACTTGACATGAAACTTGATTAATGCTGTAAAAAATGTGTTCATTGCTAGTTTGATACTTAATGCAATAACTAATGCTAACAAATGTAACCTTACTGTAAAGCGTTAGAATATTTCAAATTAAATTTCCATAAAATATTGCTAATTACTTTTTCATACATTTTTCATCATGATTTGACCTGCTGCTGAAATATATTTTCTCACCAAAACTCTTATCATTCTGGTTTTTAATAAATGCATTGGGCGGCACTGTGACTGTGTGGAATGTGGAAGATGATGCTGTGTGCTTTCAGGTGAGCCAAATGGCAATATTTCCATTCTAATTGATATATTTGATCCTTTTTAGCACTGTATTAAAGTGTTAGATGATAGTGTTAGATTATCTGATGCATTTTGAATGCCATTTTATGTGCATCTCATACACGAGACGATTCGATGAGACTCACCACAGTTGGTGCTCAAGTCCTTCATTGGCACAGAGGCCTGAATTGGTCCAGATGGATGCTGGGTCTTTTGCTGATGTACCTGAGGGAATGACCAAAAACTATTGGAAAACTATACTGGATTATGAAGGATTGCTTTTAGTATTTGAGTATATTGTGACCACTCACCTCGTGCATGTATATAGCATGCAAGCTCATCTCGGCTGATGCGAACTCTGACGCCAGGCCCGAATGAGACTGGCTGAGCACCCTGGAGTCACTTGCAGACATGCTAATGAAAAGGTAACACTGATTACTGTAACCAGATCTGAATCGAACAGTGCGGGCATTTAAACAGAAATTGCTTTGCCACTTTGCATTACTGTTTAATGGTCGTTACCTGTTGCCCACAGTGTGGTCGCTGCAGTACATGGTGCTGTCGTGGTGCTGTCGGGATGGCAGGAGAGTGTGTGAGCGAGAACGGCCGGCGTGGGGCTGCTGAGAAGACGAAAGGGACGCCAGGACACTAGCGGCAGCGGAAGCAGCACTGCTCGGTGGGATAAAGTGGCGATTCCTCCCAGGCAGTCCGGAGGCGGTCAGTACGGGGTGAGCCAACACACTGGCTAACAGGTTATCAGGCTGAAGCACAAAAATAACGCAAAAACATATGCATCTCATTAAGAGAAGTGAAAAATGAGCTGGCAACATGATGAGGCAGAGGTAACCCCGCAGATGCAGATGGCTGAAGATCTGTGAAATAATCTGGCAGCAAGCGCTGAAACAATGCAGAAGCATTAAATGAAATGTCAATATTTCTTGTCTTCTGGCAGGTTTTTTAATATCCTGAATGCCACAGGAAATGTTTTTTTTTTTCTTTTTTCTTTTCCCTTCGCAATGGAGTGTTTCTAAGTGTGTCCCACTCAATAAATAAAAGCTCTACTCTGTAGGTTTAACCACTGAATTACCACAACTATCCACTCCAAAAAGCATTATTTTGAGTTCAACTTTTCACATGAATGTTTTTGGGGGGAAAAGATTCATTCAAATGAAGTTTGTAAAACAAAACTAAAGCTTTAGACAAAACTAAAGCAAACACACTTGATTCCTTCTGTCAATCAAAATTAGATGTACAGTATATTATAACAAAAACATATAAAATAATAATAATAATAATATATTTTTAATAATAATAATAATAATCATAATGACTTTATATTTACACTATCGTTAAAACTATAGTTTGGGGCCAGTATTTTTTTTTTTTAAGAAATTATTACTTTTATTTTTTATTTTATTCAGAAAGAAAAGAATACTTTTATTTGATTTATCTTAAGAACATATTGATAATGTTATAAAAGATTTCTATTTCAAATAAATGCTGTTCTCCTGGACTTTCTATTAATCAAAGAATCCTTAAAAAATGTCTGAACAGTAGTGTATATCTATATATATATATACCTTAATAAATATTTTAGTAAGTGTGCCTGGTATGATTTTGCATGATTCATCACTGCACATTTACATAGCAATTTTTAAAATTTTCATATATTTTATATATAATTTAAAAATATATTTTTTGCGTAAAGAAAATTTATTAAATTTTTTTAAACTTAATTAAAAACTTTTTAAAACTAACAAGATTTTTTGCATTGTTTATTTTATGACACTTAAGCACTTTTCTCACCTAATTTAGTTACTGTTAATGCAAAAATAATAATAATAATAAAAATCACCCATTACTCCAATGGAAGAAAAAAATTATTATTGGGGTATTTATATATCAGGGTAATATTTATTGTTTTTAGCTTGATTATGATTTACATTTAAAAAAATATATATTGTTAATTATGTTTAAAAAAAATCTGAATTATTTAAAAAAATGTCTTAATGGTCCTAAAAATTTTTACCATATAATTTGTGTGTGTGTGTGTGTGTGTGACATTAGTACAGCAGATAAATATGTTGTGAATGCGGTTTAAAAAAGTGAAACTGATTGGAAGAGATAATAGAGGATCCTAATACAGTCAAGACAGTGGTGAACATGATAAAGCGTGACTTACACACGTTGCGGACTCATTGGACAGCAGCGAGGTACAAAGAGGAGCCTCGGACAGCAGCAGCTGAGGAGATGGTCCTGTCTGAGCGTCCTGATGCACCTTCTCCTTCAGATGGCTGATGAACACAGAGCTCTCCTGCGGGGGCTGCCAGCATGGGTTTTTGATGGTAAAATGCATCAGAGACAGCTCCGTCTTCCCATTCTCAGCCTGCTGGTACACTGAGGCCTCCGTCTGACCTTCAGACATCCACTGAGCGAGAGGGGAAAAAACAAACCATGAAGCCTGCTTTGATACCAAGAAGCTGCTCTCACATAACAACATACTTTTATGATTTTACCCCCCAAAAGGCAGCAGATTACTGTGAGCTGAAGCATTAATAACGTGCATGCATGGGCTCTTTGATACCTGTGGATTTCCATGGCGCCTGATGTCCATCTGGGCGAATGAGCAAATGTCTCCCACCCCTGCCACATCTACGGTGAAGTTACGGAAGAAGTCGATGATTTCTAAAGACTTGCTCCGCAGGGAGAAGATGAGGATGAAGGGGGTAATTATGGGACTCAGAAGCTCCTCCAATATAAAGACCTGCAGGACAGGTGCACAAAAATAAGAGAAACTCAGTGAGTGGAACTCATAAAAACAGCGGAGCAGGTGTGAAACAGTGCTGGTGAACAGATGCAGTGAAGATTAAAACCTACTCAACAGGTGTGCAAAATCAGACAAACTTCTAGACAACAGGTGCAGAGTGGTAAGGTGTTATTTCATACTTTAAATAACACAGAAAACTCAACTCTTAGACTTACTGTGGTAAACAACCGACTGACTCATTTTCAACTGTCTGACTTTGTGTATTTTGTGACTTTCTGAATTACAACAGACTACAGACTAAAAAGTCAAATCCAGACTATTGTAACTTTATTGTTATTTAAATAAATGATTCTAATTTAGTGAATTTTTATTTTTCTGCCTGTAAGTATGCACTAATTCAGGGGTTTTCAAACTTTAAAATATTGTCACATACTGTATGAAAAAGGATTTTTTTCCCCCCAAAATTAAATGATTAGCTAGTGATTGTATTAAAGCCTAATTTAAAACATATTAAAACATTTTCCATTCAAATTTATTTGTATAGCACTTTTCATAATAAATATAATTCCAAGACAACTACATGAAATAGTGCCTTACAACTAGTGAGCAAGCTAGAAGTGACAATGGTAAGAAAAACAATGCAAATAAAAACTATTCTTGAAAAGATATACTTTGCTAGGAAAGAGAGATTTTATTTTTTTTATGTATTATGCTATAATAAATATACTATATGCATTTTTTTACTAAATAAAAATTCTCACCAAGGCTATATTTAATTGATCAAAAATATGGTAAAATCAGTATAATACAGTCAAATATTATTACAATTTAAAATAACTGTTTTCCATTTGAATATATTTAAACAAGTCATTTATTCCTGTGATCAAAGCTGAATTTTCAGCATCAATACTCCATTCAGTGTCACATGATCCTTCAGAAATCATTCTAATATGCTGATTTGCTGCTCAAGAAACATTTATTATTATCAACGTTGAAAACAGTTGTGCTTTTTTTTTTTAGGGTTCTTCAGGAACGGTTTTATTTGAAACAGAATTCTTTTGTAACACTATAAATGTCTTTGCTGTAACTTTTCATCAATTTAATGTGTCCTTGAATAAAAGTATTAAATTCTTTAAAAAAAAATAAAAATCTTACCAACCCCAAATCTTTAAACGGTAGTGTATATTAATGAATGAATTAACAAAATAACAAGTAATGTCTAACAATAATAATCTGCCTTTATCATGCAGTTCTCACCGCTTTATATTGGAAAAGCTGTGCCATCTCGTCGCGGGTCTCGCTCTTGTTGGCATTGCCCTTCCAGTGGTCGGGCATGTAGTGAATGTGGGCCAGGACACACTGAAGCAGCTGTTCAGGACACCACACCATATGTTCATCTGGAATAAACGACCTGTAAGAGAGTCAGACGGCATTACTGAAGCCAGGTCAGACTAACAGGTACTGAGAGCGGGCCATTTACTGTACAGCTCAGAATTATAATGCTTGGGTGTAACGAGGTCAACTGAACACATGAAACGGCACTTATTCGTTGACCTGATGCCAGCTTGAAAGAGCTGCAGAGAGTAATTGTCTTTTACCTCACATAGTTGGACCAATATGGTTTATGTCACATGAGTTTACAGCACAAATAAAAATAATAAAGCCCTGTTCCAAAACAAAGAGAGCAGCCTTGCTGTCTACATATGCAGAACCTCACATGTGACTGATTTTGAAACTCTACACAGGCAGCAGCAATTAAGAATGGAACAAAATATATTTTAGAACAATTGTTATTGGTAAAACTATAACTACTAAATTGTTATTAAAGGAGTCATATGATGCGATTTCATGTTTTCCTTTGTCTTTGGAGTGTTAAAAGCTGTTCGTGCATACAGAAGATATGTTAAGTCGCAAAGATTAAAGTCTCAAACCCAAAGAGATATTCTTTATGATAGTGAACGCTCAGCCACGCCCTCCTAAAACGCCTCATTCAAACACGCCCCCACATGTCTACGTCACTGTGTGGGAAGATTTGCATAACACCGCCCAAATGTATACGCAAATAAAGAAGGCGTAACTTTTATTCTCGCTGTAGTATTGTTGCTGCTGCCGCCATGTCGTGGAGATGCTGTGTGTTTCGTTGCGAAAGCCAAACTACTTTGTTTGGTCTTCCAAAAGAGGACGCAACTAGAAATCAGTGGTTAAGTTGTATTTACAACACTGTTCCAGAACAGTTCAAACCAGATATTCATGTGTGTGCAATGCATTTTACAGAGGAAAGTTTCCTGAACCTGGTAAGGGGCGTAACAATTCCGTCACATGCTTGAGGAATTCGGCCAATCACAACGCACTAGATAGCTGGCCAATCAGAGCACACCTCTC